AAGCAATACAATCACGGATTTCTTTCAAAACTCAATTGGAAAATGCTCTAACTTTCCCACACTACAACTTTCCTTATTCTTTCAATTCGTTAGAACATCCTGAGACAGTTTATAAGCATACGCGGTTGCTCCTGAAGCTTGGTTCAAAGAAAGAAGCAGCACACAACTGGCTTCAATTCCGAGGTGTCCTTCTTCACTCGCACAAAGGGGACCTGGATTCCCTTTGGAAAGTACTCCAGTAAGCTTTTCACTCCTGAATCCTTTGATTATTTTATCCAGCAAGGGTACGGAATTGAAGAGTGAGTCCGTTGCGTAGTGTAGTGATTGTTTGAGAGGAAGAGATGGGACAGAGGTTTTTCCTTTAAACGAATTGTCGATAATACTGGTTTTCATGTGTTGGGCAAATCATAGACGATCGAGGATTTCACTGGTTCACGACCGTCTCAGATTTGTCCGACAAATGAAAACTCCGAAACCGTAGAGATCCCCGATTGTCTGGGATGGTCGGCGACAAATCGGGAACGTTACTATTTTTCCGACGCGTCCCAGATTTCTGTGATGATCGGCGATCACTTCAAACTTCAATTTTTGCCGTTGGGGACGTTTTAGCTCGCAACCAGTCCTCTAGTTGCCTAGCTCTAGTACCCCCGTGTGACAAATAAAATTTAATATCCAAAGAATCTTGGACAAACATCTGACCATCTCTTGAAATATCAGCAAAATCTGGGTCGGTCGAGAAACAGTGATAAATGAATGACAAAAAATTTTTTGTTTTTCAACAGTTCATCAACAACAAAGTTTCTGGAAAGTGACGTCAGCAACGAGCAAGTCCGAGAACTAGACGAGTTGATCTTGAATTGGTTGAGCGAGAATAAAGAGCAAAATGTCTTTTATCCACATGCCAGGGTTTAAAACTCTATTCGAGCGAATGTTTTCATAGATTTAAGAAACGTTCAGTTACGTCGTTAACAAAGATGCCATCTTCTAGCGTTGAAGATTATACCAAATTTGATGGATTGCTGTCAGGGCTACAGTGCATTTTGAAACAAAGATAAAGTTTAAGCCCGTTCTACAAGTCCTTCTGTAGGATTTGCACGTCTCAGTGGTTCATAAAGAATGAGAGACAGTGTTTCCGTTTACCACGAAGAGTAGTTATGCTGTTGAGTGTTTGTTATCGTTTCTGTTGTGATAACTCAAATTATTTATTAGTACAAAGGCGATACAAGACCCAATAAAAATCATAACTTCAAACTTGTGTTCTGCCGAGGGTTTTAACAATCATGATATAAGAAACATTATCAAAGTCTTTCTTTGTATAGGAATTTTGATTACTTGGCAAATTTTACGTATCATAAACAGCCCAATCAGAATTCATGAAAGATCGCCTCTTTCTCGGAATCCTAAATTCCGAGAATGTGATTGAGTTTCCTAGAAACGTGAGTAACGCAGGAGCCCGTTACTTTGGTAATGGGCCCCTGACTGACGTCAATGTTTAATATGCCTCGATAACCAATCAGCTTGCAGATTAATCGCTTCACAGTAAGGTCATTCTGTCATGTAACTTGTTTTCCGCTCTAGAGTGAAAACTTTCTCAGAAATCTGTCGTGTGTTTCACGCAGTTAGTAGTTAACATTTGGTTTGGTTGAAAGTCAACAACTAAAGGAATTAGGCAGGCTGCCGCATTAAGCTCTAATTTCGTCACTGCATGGTTTACGATATTAGCAGGTTGAACGTTCATGGCTAGTTTCAACTTCAGCTCGAGAGGTGATCATTATCATCAACTAAGCGCACAAATTCAGCAAAAGTTTCAGGATAATCGTCAAACGAGTGAAGTATTTGATCGGAAGAATCGATGGAGAAAGGAAATTGAAGACTTAGTGAAGACCCTTTACCCGTCATGTCGACTCGTTCTTTCCGGCTCGTCCGCAAACGGGTTTGGCAGCATTCATAGTGATATCGACCTGGTTTTGTGCTTTGAAGGGGCAGCAGTGACTGGACCTTCCATGTTGAGGAGAATAGAGTCGCTTTTTGCGAGTAACCGTCGTCGTTTTCAAACAGAGGTAGTACCACACCTTATGTGAGTTGCATAATTTTTATAAATAATACGAGCAATCAGGAAAATATCCGCTCGTATAATGCATAAAACCATGAGATAAGGGACTTGTTATTCCCCTGCCATTTCATTTTATAATATTTTGACTTCCAGTTTTTTTAAATACATACGGTCTAATCTTGTGCACTGTATGGATCACATAACGCGTGTGTGAAAGACGAAGGCAACACAAACGAAACCATTAAGAGTTCTTGATGACTTATAAAAGAAACTGTTGCCCCTAATAGTTCCATGCACGAAATTTCGAGCCTAAAACACGGAAACAAATAAAAGATTGAATCGTTTAGCCGGGGGCCATTTTGTTACTCCGCTTTCAGTCCGCATTTTTGCCCCGTGCCATCGCATATTTTGCGGGTTCTATGGTCCTTATTTGGTGAAATGGTGTAACTGTCGAAGAGTATGTAATAGTATTTGAGCACAGCTTGAATGTCCGCGACTAAGACAATCAGATTCCTACGTAAGATATGCATGACAAACTAGTACGTCGTGTCTTTTCCCGCGTTTTGAAACACTTTAGATTATGATTTAATTTTTTGTTTGTGGGTTTCCTCTATAAAGCATCAAAAATGACTCAGGGGGAGATCAAAGAAAAAAACTGGTTCTTCTCTTTCGTCATATTGATCAGAATTTTTAATTCGAAGCTTCCTCAACGTGTCTTTCACTTCGGTTTCTACCGATCCCGAGGTTAGATTGTGCTTTAATCTTTAACCTAATTGGCATACGCAAGAGAATATCAAAAGTTGATGTTCTCTCGGCAAACGATATAATTTTTATTAAAACCAATTTCAAGATGGTGTCAGCGCCGAGTGAGAGATATTTTTGATTGAAAAAAAAAAACTAGACAAGTAAACATTTGATATGCAGCAGTAAATTTTTTTAAAGTCAACTTTGAATTTTGAACAATCCCCAGGTGATTCCAAACGCACGAGTTCCTATCATCAAGCTCAAAGATAGGGAGAAATCAATTGAAACTGATATCAGTGTGGAAAATTGGACCAGTGTGAGAAACGCCTTCGTTCTAAAATGTTACTCCGAGTGTGACACAAGGGTGAGACCGCTGGTCATGGTCATCAAACTGTGGGCTCAACGTGCAGGAATCACCGATGCAAAACTCAAAAGACTTGCAGGTACGAAATCTGCCGATTGTTAAAAAAGTGGCGGATTTGAGGTTGAATAAAGGGGGTTAATTTCTAGAGAAAATTTTGGTGCTGCGTGGGGGGATCTTTCAAGACAATTTGGTGTCATCAACCGAATTGACATTATAAACTGGCCACCGTAAAGAGTTTCTTTTGCTAACGCTTGCAACGTCAGCTATATTAAACTCTTAACGGTGGTCAATTTACATTATCAACGCAGTTGATAAAACCACATGATCTGATGAAAGGTTGACTGGTTTGACTCGTTTACAAGCTCAATAATACAAATAAAAAAAAAGTCCCTTCATTTTAGTTTAGTTATGTGTAGCTTTTCACATATCACGATGCGAGTAACATATGACTGACTCTTACAAGACAGGCAGACATGTAAAGCTTGTAACTTAGACCAAAACGCGTAAGAGAGAGAAAAATGAAAATTTACAGAAACTAAACAGGAAAAAAGTATAAACTGGTCTACCTTTGAGCTGCTAGGATCTCCTTTTATATGTCGATTCTTCTTAATATTTAGGTTTCGCCGTGGTTCTTTTGGTAATCCATTATCTTCAAGCAGGATGCTCCCCTGCTGTTGTGCCTGCCTTGCAACAAATGTTCCCTGCGGTCTTCCAAGCTTCTAACAGTGTGATCATTGACAAGCTTACCTCAGATATTCCTGCTGAAATACAAGCCTTCAGTTCCGATAACAAGCAGAGTCTTGGTGAGCTTCTGGTTGGCTTCTTTCAGTACTTCTCCACCTTTAACTGGAGTAGAACCATGTCGATTCGTTCTGGAAATACCCGACCGACTTCGACGTACGACAAGATATGGCGGGGACCTTACATTCGCCTAGAAGATCCCTCAGATGGGGGTAACGTCACCAGATCCGTGTATGATTCCTACGAGTTCTCACGCATAAAGAGTGCGTTCAGTAGCGCTCTCTCGAAGTTGAGAAGCAATCCGTCTTTGGAAGAAATCTTGTAGGAATCCGAAGAAGAAACTGACGTAGATCCCTACATTGTTCCAACTAATTTCAATTTTTGCCTTACACAGTAAAAACTCGCTAAAAAACCCTAATTTTGCTATTAGAAACTAAATAAGTTCTTCACTAGAGCCATTTTCGTGTTCAGAAAACTAGAGAAAAATAAGGTTACTGAAACTGCTTAGAGTTACAATGTGAAAACTTTAGATGTCATTTACAGGAATAATATGGGAGAATGACATTGTGAATTGAATGGAAGAATGGAAAAAGAAAAGAAAAGAGAAGAAAAAACGATAGAGAAATGGTTGAAGCTGCTGGGGCTCGAACTATAGATCTTCGGAATTAACAGGAGTACGCACTCACTATCTATTGTGCTAGGTACGCAAAGCGTACATAAGTATTGTATCAAAATACATTTGATACACATTTTATACATGGATCTTTTCTATGAATTTCCCACCCTGTCCCTAGCCCGTGAATTGACCAGTATACAAACTCTGTTCTAACCAAGTCCTCCTTTTGACAAATTTTGGCATCGACGAAAGCTGTTTCAATAACCTGTTCATTAACCTGTTCATTAAACTGTTCATTAACTTGTTCATTAACCTGTTCATTAACCTGTTCATTAACCTGTTCATTAACCTGTTCATTAACCTGTTCATTAACCTGTTCATTAACCTTTTCATTAAACATCTACCTCATTAAAAATGAGGTGCATGTTACACCTCATTTCTTTCTTACCGCAATACTCTACAACCATACAACAATAGGTACATGCAGTCATAGATTGCCTTTTATTTTAAAAGCAGCACTTCTACCACTTACAAGGCCTTCGAGACACTGTTTCTGAGTAAACTGAGTTAAGCTCATTCTTTTTCTTGACTTGATGTTACTGTTCTGAGTTCAAGTTCGTAATTAACTTTATATAAAGCTAGAAGCTGTTTCGTCGTTAACAGAAGTCTGGAGACCTTCAAAATGTAAACTTTGATACCAATTTTTGCATCAACAAATAAATTATCTTTGTTTTCATCCATACCCATATTGTTGATATCGTTAATGGATTAATAAATTTTCATCAGCGTGTGGTAATCATTCTAAGTTTGCAATCAACGTGGTCGGTTGAAATAAACAAAGCAGTTCATGTATTATGTAAACTATCACAGACAGACCCTAGCCGTTAAGCTACAGCGTATTCCCCGACGGGGAAACAGTGCTAACAAATCATGAAAAAATTTAGGTGTAATCATAAAGTTCTGGAAGAACTTAACAAAAGAAAAACCGAACTAAGTTGTTGTTTCATTTGGTCGTTCTTTTGAAAATCTCATTGATCATTCAGTTTTAATATAAAAAAGAATAAAGTAAACTCGGCATTAATGTTGGAGGAATGTGAGGACTCCATTTGAAAATTTACGTAAAGAAAATACGTAGTATTTGGTATATTGGTTTAATTAAATAAACTATCTGAATAACATTTTAAACAAAACACCCTCAAAAAAAGGTTACATAGGTCTGCAATGCATACTTGTGTTTTATACAGCTGTCACTCCCTTGGTTAATCGCACAAAGACTTGAATTATCGGCTATTTTTTTTTTATTACGTGTATCAAAAGCTTTTACTGGCATAAAAGTAACGTTTGATCTACTAAGTTTTGAAAGACAACTTTAAATACTTAAACCATTCATCCCCTTCACTTTAGGATGCGATCGTTTTAGCTTAAAAAATGTCTTGTAGAGATGCCTTCTGTTCCAGCTGAGTTGAGGCAGATTGAAAGGCATTCTTTATGCGTGTGAATTCGCTCGAGTTATACACGCCCCTTGTGACATTTCCTTCGTCTGTCGGATCTTCCAGCTTAATATAGGGCCCACTCCAAACTCTTCCATACCGTGAAGTTGGCTGAGTATTTCCCATTCGAACAGATATGGTTTTTTTCCAATCAAAAGAGGAGTAGTACTTGAAAAACTCGATCAGCAACTCACCAACGTTTTGCGTGTTCTTGGATTTGTGTGACTTTACTTGGGGAGGAGCGCTGCCGGTGAGTTTTGATATGACATCATTTTCTGTTGATCGGAAGAGCTCTGGGAAATCTTTTTGGAGCGAGGGGAGGACAGGGGGAGAACATCCGGCTTGTAGGTAATTAATGACAAGTAGCACAACTGCAAAACCTGTGGACCAAAAAATTGAGCTATAGTGAGATATTAAACCTTTACCATGGAATAATTAAATCAAGCACAAGTTTTAATGAAAAAATATTGCAAAATACCAGGGATTTAATAGTCTTCATCCTGACTTCCACAATAAAAGGTACATTTCCTACCAAATTAGGATGCAGCCTCACCCTCCCCCCTGCCCTCTTCTTGGTATTAGAAGGGCACTTACGAAATTGGTAAGAAACGTAGTCGGTGAAGAAAGAAATAAACTTATTACGAGGAAAATTATAAAGCCGTCCGTGGTTTCTTAGAGGTAATTCGATAAATTTTCCAACAATGAATACAAGTTCATCTATATCGGTGTAAAAAGCATAACGAATAGAAAAATATCTTTCTCAGGCATTACCAGCAAGTCGGTGTAATCTTGCGTTGGTAATCTCAGCCTTCTGAGCCCACAGTCTGATAATGACAACCAGAGGTTTCACTCTTGGATCGCACTCGGAGTAACATTTCAAAAGGAAAGCGTTGCGAACATTTGCCCAGTTGTTGACGGAGATGTCAGATTCAAAAGACTTTTCCTTGTCTTTGAGTTTTATGATTGGAATTCTAGCGTCGGTGATCACCTGCAAAAGTTATGTTAGCCTTCGTAAATGTTAAAACACTTCGTTACACATAGCTTCACTTTAATTAATATTTAATTAAAGTTTGCATAATTAATCTTTTTCAAAAAGGCTTTCTCAGCGAGACAGTGATATTGTCTCAATAGATTGAAAAGACCTCACCCTTGTTTCAAAGCGTCTGGGTGTCCTGGTGAAAAGCGATTCTATTCTTCTTAACATGTAAGTTTCTGCATCTTCCCTGCTTTTAGCAGTCAAAATGAGATCGATGTCGCTATCAGTGCTTCCGAATCCGTTGGCAGAAGACCCGCACAACACAAGGCGACAGCTAGGATAAAGCTCTTGGATAATAAGCTCCATTTCCCGCCGCCATGAGTCCTTTTGATCATAAATTTTTGGCGTTTGTTGGTTTGCTGAAAATTTCTCTTGAATCTGACAGCTCAATTGAGCGTCTCTATCAGTGTTTTCATTAGCCATAATTATCGACCCAAATCTGAGTGAAAATGAATGAAAAATAAGCCCTCGGGTGACCACAAAGTTGTTGCTTACTAGAGAATTTGTGTTTACTTCGACGAAGTTTCAAACGTTTTCTAAGAAAACGCAATATCATCCGTAAACAATAAAATTCCCAGAAATGCCGCGCATTGTTAATTGTGATTGGTCCATTACTATGTAAATTCTGACATCCTGTTTACAGAGTGTTCTAGAGTTTAATTCATTACTCGAACTCACCCGCTGAAAATGCTTAATAAATTCAGGTTATTGTTCTTTACCCGCTCTGACATTAGCAAAATAATTAAAATAATTTAGGTAACGATTAGGAATATCAATTTTAAAAGTATTCAGTCAATGAGTCTGAAACAGTACGAGGAAATATGACATCCTTTTTGGTGGTTTTAACGTGCTGTGGCTGTCACCATATCCTCAATTGCGAACAGTTTTACATGGAAGAATAACACTAGACATTCTAAACAACTCTATCCGTCATCAGAGATACAGTGGAATCTGTATTAAGCGGTCGCTTGTTAAAGTCCCGAAATTTTTCCTCTCTAAATACGTCAATTTTCACTTTAATCTCTCGAGTCAAATTAGTATTCCATGTTTATCTCCCGAAATCGATGCTAGCACTGTGAATTCAAGTATCCTCAATACTTTGTAGGTCATCTTTCTACTATGGACTGTTAGGACAAATGTGACACACGAACATCACACAAGCTATTTGCGGATCAACTTGTATTGAGTCCGTAAACCTGTAATAAACGGTCACCTGGCCATTCCCTTAGGGAAACCGCTTAGTACAGGTTCGACTGTAACTTTCATCGAATATTTAAATCTTACTCGGATAAAATGTTTATTACTGAGAATTAGAAAATCAGTTTCGAACTCTTCATTCTTAATTAACGCTGCGAAATTTGAAAGAACGAAAGTTGAATCAAGACCTTCACTTTGATTATCGTTTGGTTTGCTGTCTGGTGTTTGATAAACGACTTTTTTTTTACAAACCTATTAACTATGATATTTAAGATTAACAAAAGTCAAATTGTGCGCTGCACCACAATGAATTGCCCAGACTTTATTCGTCTCCCTTATGTAATCATAGGAACTTACTCAAGTTACTTCAGTGAGGTCAGACATACCAAATACAAGTGAAGAGGCACTGGCCCGCTTCAACTAAACACGTTTACTCAGCATTTACAAAAAGATACTAAAGTAAGACGGAAAAATTAATTATAGAGATACAACGAGACAAAACTTACCAAATGATGAGGGAAATACTGGAAGGACGACACAATCGGGATTTAGAGAGAAGGAAAAAAACACAAACTGCTAGAAGGGGCGTGAAACATGAAGTATATGGGGCGGCGGGATTTACATAAGGCAAAACAGTAGTGAAAAAACGAAAAGAGTAAGCGTAAATTAATGGGTGCTAGATAAATAACATATGTGATTATATTATATAATATATAGCAACAAGACTGTTGCTATATATTACAAAATTTCAATTGAATTAATCATAATAATATGAATAGCAATTATGTTTCGAGTCGAAATTGATTTCGTTGTGATTGAGTAGTTTATCTCAAAGTGTACTTATTTATCTGATGAGATGTAAATCAAAGAATACTTTCCAAAGACGAATTTCTATTCAAATTGTTTGACGCAGTCTTGAAAGACTGTTTAATGCGCCTGGCTTCATACTCGTCAAACACGGCTCTGGTTACATTTCCTCCGTCCGTGGGGTCCTCGATTCTGATTTTAGGCCCCCGCCAAACCTTAGAATGCATTTTGGTGGGTTCCGTGTTTCCCGTACGAACAGAAATGGTTTCTGCCCACTGGAAAGCAGAATAATACCGGAAAAACGCCATTAACAATTCTCCAAGACTCTTCTCGTTTTTTGACTTGTACGTCTGGATTTGAAGTGGAATTTCATCGGTTAGTTGGTGAATTACTTCGTTTTTTGACGTGTCTTTGATAAGTTCTGGGAAGTCTTTATGCAGTACAGGCAGGACTGGGGGAGCACAACCGGCTTGTAGGAAGTGGATGACCATGAGAACGATAGCAAAACCTAGACATGATGGAAAGTGGCAAGCAGCTAAATTTATTAAAGCATCACAGTTACATGCAGTAAGCATAACTACACATTCGAAGCGGGGGAATCCCAGAAGCGGCACAGGTTTATACGAGAGATCTTAATAGTCCACATGTCTCCTCACACATAGGCCCCCAATGCTAATAAACTTGTATCAATCAGGTTATAAGTTCCAACTGCTGTCTTTATAAAAAACAAATAACAATTAAAAAAGTCTCCAAGTTTCCGTGATAAAGGTTAATTCAAGTTCTTGTCAGGAGTCGCGGGTAGCGTTAGAGTATAGTTTGAATTACTCCAAGATACAACACAATACCCCCTTCGCTTACAGTCTTCTCATCCTTCTCTTCCGACCTTCAACAATGTTAAATGCTTCTAGATACATTACCTGGAAGCCTCTTAAACTTGGCTCCGATAATTTGAGCCTTTTTCGCCCATAGTTTGATCACAATTGTCAACGGCTTCACTCTTAAGTCACACTCAGAGTAGCATTTTAATAGGAAGGCGTTCGTCAAGCTGCTCGAATTCTCCAAAGTGATGTCCGTTTCAAACGAGTTCTCTTTATCCTTGAGGATAATTATGGGGTCTTTGGCATTTGAAACAACCTGAAAGTAGTTACAATTACTCTCTGTTAACTACGCCTTAGTTCTGTGGCCGTTTTATAGATGTGCCATGTTCAATTATGTAGAATTACACTTTCTCGTTCTTTCAACGCTCTTTTACCCTTCTCTCCCCCCTCTCAAGGCAAAAATTGTAGATTGCATTTTGTTTACTATATACAAACAGGAGCAGCTGGTTCAAACTGCTTCTTTTTTCTAATTGGATCACCAGGAGATCTACAATCTTCCGCCCAAATATCGTTCGATCCAAACAGCCACCATGAATGAGTATTTCTGGATTATACCAGAACGTGATATATAAAAAACAAACAGTGGATGCGGATATTTATGCGTGGCAATCATCTCAAGCTAAAAGAGATACCAAATTAAATTATCAATTGGTATAACAAACACTGATACCTCTGTTTCAAAGCGGCGAGGCTTGCGACTGAAAAGCGATTCGATTCTCCTAAGCGTATACGTGTCTCTTGTGACGGCAGTTCTGCCTTCGATGCCCAGCATTAGAGTCAAATCAATGTCGCTATCGATGCTTCCAAATCCGTTCGCAGACGAACCACACATCACAAGGCAACAGCTGGGGTACAGCTCTTGGATGATAAGTTCCATTTCCTGCCGCCATGTATCTTTCTGGTCGTAAATTTTCTGTGTTTGTTGATTCGTCGAAAATTTTTCTTCAATCTGAGAGCTGAGTAGGGCATGATGTGATAAACCCGTTTTCCCACTGGCACCCGCCATTATGGACGTAAATTGGATGTAAAAATCTACTAGGAGATACTATGCACCATCTTCAACTTTCCCAAAATGAAAGGCAATTTCCGTGCTTTTTCCGTCATCGCGTTAAGTGTAGGTCCTAACGTGTTTTATTTTTTCTTCCACGAAATTTAGTATTTTCTAAGAAAACGCGGACCAAATCAATATCTGAGCAACTGCCCACCTACCCCTCCCCTAACCCAACATTAACCCTGACATGTTATCAATTGACTGTTGTTGTTTTAGGGGAGGGGTAGGTGGGCAGTTTCCCAGATACTGATATCCGTTGTTTATGGTCAAGTTTCCTAGAAAATCATGTTGTGCGGTGATTGGTCAGTTTTCCGTGTCAATGCTTCTCTTGTGGATGCTAAAATGAATTATTGCTTGCATACACTACTAACCAAAATATATCAGTCACCAGAAATCTACAAAATTTCTGGCTGATAAAATAGTCCTCTCTATGAAAGAGGAAAGAGGACTTGGTTTTCCGGGATTAATTTAAGAGAAATGAGATTGGCTGTGACTTTTCAATACTGATAATGGAAGCTACACTTTAGCAGCTTTATTATGGAATGAAGAATAATAAGAAAATAAAAATGTAAACATTCTTTGTCAGCTTACCTCTTTTCACAAATATACTTCCTTGCAGAAGGAGGAGAGGACTGGGTAGAAAGTGCGTGACATTTTACCGAGTGTTTGGTCATGTATGTGACATATAGTGTACCGACTAGTTTTAAACGCCTTTCACTGGGAACAAAACATAAATTCTAAACACAGTTTGGTTTTAGCAATGACCGAAGAAACACCATCGTCTCTTCAGCAAGATGATCCTGTGGATATGGAAGGCACAGGATCAGATGTAGAACTCGAAAGAGGAGGGAAACAAGCAAAACTTGACGAAGAAGACAGCGACAATGATTCCACCGTCAGCAGTTCCAATTCGAATTCAACGCAAGCCACAATTGGAAAGAGAGGATTTCGTGGAAAAGGCAGGAAGAAGAAAAGTTTAGCGTTCAAATGCGCGAATTTTCTTAGGGTATAGTGGATTTTTCACATCTTTTCCAGTTATTCAAAGTTCTTATGATGACATTTGAAGTTTTGGTTATTGACGTTTCCCGCGCACTTAAAATATCTTTGTTGGAGCTGGGAACCACGTGCATCGCTTTTCAACTTGGAAAGCTTTAAGTTTACAGAACGCATGCTTTTGTTCTAAGAAAGACAAGGAAAAGAAATGAAGCAGATATGATGGAATCTTGCGAGTAATTACTGCTAAGATTCTGACTTTGTTTCTACCCTTCGCCTGCCATCTCAATCAACTTAAATTCGGTAGTGATCATGAGCTAAACTCTCCCAACAGTAGTACTATTCTGTCAAGTAGACAATGTATGAAAATCGAGAAAATTTTCAGTACGAATTTGCTGGTTTCATCAGAGAAATGTTCTGGTTATTTGCAAGGAGAAATACCCTTAGTATCATGAGAGTAAAAAGGTACATACATCAAGTAGTAAGTAGTATTCCAATCAGTGAACCTGATGAAAAAGTGTTATCAGATTAGGATTAAGCGATTTGTTGCTGTTTTCTGACTGTGAATGAACAACAAGTTAGATATGACATGGTATGGCCACAAATATGTCGACTAGGACAAGTCACGTCTTGAAAAGACAGGTATATTTCAGAGAGTCTTGTGTGCCTGTAAACAAGTTTATTTCATGTTGTCACTTTAGTCATTGTTGGGTGTAATTTAAATTGATCAAATTTAAATTATATTTGAATTTAGGGCATCAGGAAATACTAGTTGCTTCCATGATTTCTTGCACAATTTGCTTTGTTGCAATAGCAAGGCTTGTTACATTGTTATATTTTATTACATGTAGATTTAGGATTCATGGATTTTGTCAACTAGATTTTTTTCTTGTGTGAATATAACAGGAGGATCACAAACAGCCTATATTTGCTGTGCAGTTTAATCACAATGTACCAGAAGGAACAGATGATCTCAACATGTTTGCAACAGTTGGAAGTAACAGGGTAATATAAAGGTTTTAAAGAAAAATTTTGTGCATCAGGAAAAATGTAACTCTCCCATGATGATTTAAACCAGGAGTAGTCCACTTTCCCTGTCAGATACCTTACCAAATGAACCTTAGAGCCCTTTTTGGTGAGCTAGTCTTCATACTAGGATGAGAAATGTTAGAGGTGTCTGGGAAGGTTTAGAGTGGGACTGGTGATGAATGTTGATCCTGGTTGCTTTGTTAAGGAAGATGTGCTGTATTTGTCAAAAGTGGAATTTTATTTTGAACCTCAAGAAAACCATTTTATGCAAAGGGGTTTACCAAGTTCGTAAAGTGGAAATAAGATACAGAATGTGAATTCTGATTTGTCCTCAGGTGACAATCTACCAGTGTGAAGCAAAAGGTGTGATCAAGCTACTTCAAGCATATATGGATGCCGATGTATCTTTTCCATCTAAATTTGAGAACTCTTACTTGCCCTCTGCCCTACAAAGTATACAAGATAAGCTTTATTTTCAGTTCTGTCAGAGGAGGTTAGTCAGTCTAATATGACTGATTACTATATATTGAATGAAGAGTGTAAGTTTCTAAAGAAACTGTAGTGCTGTGTCAGTGGGAGAGTATAACATGATAATTTGGTTTTATCAACTGAGTTTATAACTGTAAATTGGCCACTCTTAAGAGTTTCGAGAGCTTTGAAACTCTTCATGGTGGACAATTTACATTTATTTATCAACTCATTTAATTAAACCAAATTATCTGATTACCAGATATTGTTCTCAGCTGGTAACCAGTCTGTTTGTTAAGACACTTATGAGTTCAAAAAGTGCTCCATCTACATTAATCATTATAAACCTTTAACAACTCATAGCCAGAGGAGAGTTTCTACACATGTGCATGGTCCTACCATCCTGATACAGGGGAGCCTTTGCTTGCTATTGCTGGTACAAGAGGAATCATCAGATTCATCAGGTTATTATCATGATGATAATTAATGAGTGTTATGAATCTTTCTGTAGTCTATTTCAGTGGTTTGTGTTTTTTATTTAAACTTGTCATTCTCTTCCCTAAATCTGATGTCCTATTACTCATTTGTGAATATGGTAGATCATCAAATTTTTACTGTAAGTTCTCAATGGAAAAAGTTTGTCTCATTAACTAAAGGTATTTTACTTAAATGTGTTTTATTCTGTTTCAGTCCAATAAGCATGAATTGTATCAAGGTTAGTAATCATTTTTTGAGTTTGTATAGTTTTTTCTAGTTATTTGCAAGGACCAAATTTATTGAGCACTTCTTGACATTTTTACTGGTGAGGTAGTGATTTTCTGTATGAAAACACTAACCCAATAGTTATCTTTTATAGACTTGATTTTGGTTTCCCATTGATCTCTTTAATGCGCTGCAGCCCTTATCTGTGCAGAAATTTTTGGGTGAAAGGGTGTGGCCTATAAGCAGGCATTTATGGTATGTTTAGTTAGAAATGTGTTATTATTTCACTGATATCTTTGTCACTTGTGTGTGCTGTTTGTTACTCATAGCATTATATTGGTCATGGAGGAGCCATTAATGAACTCAAGTTTCATCCTGTGGATCCTTATTTACTTCTATCAGCAAGCAAAGGTAACACAATTGCATACTTTTCAATTAAGTACAGCAAGTTATCTGGGATCACATTGCTTTTGGTCTGCTTTGCTCTGTGCCTAAAAATCTCATAGCTTTTTATGCTCACACAGTTGGTATGGCAACCATTTTATTCTATCAAGGCAGGTAAAGATAATTTGTCTCAAAGCAAGCTAAGGTTGTATTTCAGTTTTTTTTTTGGTTTGGCAGATCACAGTCTAAGACTTTGGAATATCAAAACAGATGTGTTAGTTGCAATATTTGGTGGAGTGGATGGACACAGAGATGAAGTCCTCAGTACAGTATGTATCTCAGAACAGTATCTCATAGTTTTTCTTCTTTCTCTTGTTTCCTCTGTTTTCCTTTTTTCTCCTTTCATTTCCCTCATCATTTCATGGAGCCAATTAACATACCCTTTGGGTTTTTAAAGAATAAAAAAATCGAAATGCAGTGTACTGCTTCCCTGGGGCTTGGCCAATTTCACTGCATTCTGTTTCCTTTTTCTATTAATGTTCAGTTCACTTTGCTTTCTTTGATAGTTATTGAATGCTGTGATCCTCTAAATATTTTATCCAAGTTCAGTTTATAGATTGAAGCAGTACCCCTCTCAATATGATAAAAGCAAACCAAGTGGAAATTTTAAAGAAAGGTTTTTTTTTAACTGTGAAATCATTCTGAAATTAACTTACAATTTAGTTAAACATTAACTTTCAAGCTTCGTTTTGTTTGTGACAGATTGTTTGTTAACTTTTCACAGGAAAAGTGTGAGGTGTCATGTTCTTGTTGATGTGTCTTTTGATTTGTTCAAGGACTTTGATATTCTGGGTGAAAAGATGGTGTCCTGTGGTATGGATCACTCACTGAAGATATGGTCTCTTCAAACTGATGCCGTCAAGAAGGTAAAATCAAACTGGAGATTTTTCAGGCTTGTGAATTCCTAAAATTTATCTCAGGATGCAATCAAAAGCCCCGGTGTAATGTTCTACATACAGTAATTGTTTGTAATGTCAGCACTTAGTTTTGTCATAATTGTTAAGGTATCTTTGAGGGAGACATGATACCAAAAGCTGGATGAGCTATAGTGTGTGTTTAAACTAAGTTACAATTTATTTTTAACATTTAATTGCTTTCTCCTCATTTTTCCCTCTTTCTTGTATTAGGCTATTGCAGAGTCCCATTCCTACGATCAAAGCAAAACTGAGAAGTGAGTATTTCCCAGGCAGAATTTACTGTCTTTGAAATGCATTGTTCGAGAAATACCTGTCATGAAATAACTCTCCTCTCCACCCACATTTTGGTCTCAAACCAGACAGCAGCTGCAAAGAAGGATAGTTAGGGGTTTATCAGACTCTATCAAATAGTGACACATGTTATTGTGTTATAATTTATGTGACAGCTGTTGGAAGTTAAACAACAGAGGTCGACAAAGAGACATGTTATGTTAACTTAATGCTTAATGTCCTTGCCATGTATTCAAGCAGCTGGATTCAAGCCTAGGCCTCATCATTGGGATTTGTTCTTTTACAAGACACTTTACTTTCTCAGTGTCACTCTCTTGTATCCAGTAATAGCAGTCACATCCATTTGATAATTTGTTGGCAAGCACACAAACCTTTATGTGGTGCTATTTTTAGTTTTTAATTTGATTAGTTTCAGGATTTTGCTAAAGTATAAAATAAATGCAGTTTCTTGTCTTTAAATGCTAAGCAGTTGGCCCCTTAGCATCACTCAGGAGAGAGGAGCATTGGCCAAAACCAGTCAGCTTTACTTTAGCAAAAGGCTGTCTTGCCTGCCTGTGTTTTTCTTCTCCACCCGTCCTGTTTATTTGGTCTTTGTGTTCATATGTTTATAACAACTTTTTTTCTAGCACTGGTCGTGTTATGGATAAACTAATCCCATACTCTTTGGTGGTGACTTCTAAGTGATTTGTTGTCTTTTTATTGCAGAGCTTTTCACACTGTCAAGCTCCACTACCCTGACTTCACCACCCGTGACATTCATAGAAACTATGTGGACAGTGTTCGCTTCTTTGGTGACCTCATCTTGTCTAAGGTCAGTTACTTCTATCACTGCAGAATAGTCAAGCTCTGTTATGAAAAAGGGGAAGACTCATAAAAAACATCTATCTGAAATTTTGATCAAGCGCTCAAAGAGAGCAATTGGAGTGTGGCTGGCACTTTATTTGACCCCCTGATAAATACCACATTAACACCACCTAATATTGTACCCCTTTCTGAAGCTTTCCTCAGTGATTTCCACAGATGCCTGGCACAAGAACTTACTTTGATAATATATTTATAATAAAATATGGATGAAGGGACAACTAAACATCCTGGTGAACTGACTATATCTAAACCTGATTTTCTACCTTTGGATTTTGAGTGTAGATGAAGAAAAAGCAAAAAAAATTGATACATGCAAGAGAGAGACCTGGGAAGGGTAGATTTGTTTGAAAATCATAGCAGTTGTAACAACAGTTTTGTTCATGATTGGAGAGTCTTTGAATTCACCCTCTTTAAACGTAACTGAACCTTTACATTTATGAATCCACATGTCGGTTAATAACTCAATGAATGTCTTTTCAGTCATGTGAAAACTGCATTGTATGCTGGAAACCACAAGAGCGATTTGAGGACATTTTTAATGGGGTAAGAAATAGAGAATGTATTTATTTCATTACAGAGGGTATGTACCTCGTAGTTATCATTTTCCCTTTTGGTCTCCCGAGTGGTTAGGTCATCAACTTATTAATTGAGTTGATTTTTATAAGGACCTCCCATTAATCCTTGTTGGTGAAGTTTGCATCCATAATGGAGCGAGTCAAAACAATTACAAAAGTGACAATTAATTCCTTACCCTCTCTCTTTTGCAGCCTTTCAATTCTGATCGGGTTGTAACAGTGCTTCACCGGTGAGAAAATGCGGATTGTTTCCATGTGGAAGAATTTTTTTTTTCCGTGCTCAATGTTCATTTAAGCTGGGACATTTTACATTCTTCAATGTTAGTATTTTTTTCTCTTTTTTTTGTACAGGTTCGAGTTTTCCCAGTGTGATATCTGGTACATGAGATTCTCGTTAGATTACGAACAAAGGGTAAGCATTTATTTTCAGAATCTTTTACTAACGTTGTCAACCCAACAGTGAGCACATGGGAGTCTGGATCGAGAGAGCTTGGTATTTGAGCTCTGACCAGAGTAACATTGAGGTTTGTTTGCAGAAGACATGTCTCTTCTCTGGTACATTAGTCGTACATTAGTCGGTTCTTGGACCCAACAACTTCTAATTCGGAAATGTGTCAAAACACTATTCAGTATGTTAACCAAGAAAACGCAGATGAAGTGAAGAGGGCTTTTTCTTTAGTTGCTTGCCTTTTGGATGGCTGAGACTAAGAAAGAAAACGGAAACAGTCGTTTGTCTTAGCCTTTTATACTCCAATATCAGTATGCGTATTCTCTCTGCTGTGGTCTTTACATTTCTTATGGTGCTGACAGGGAGAATTTGTGGAAAAATTAAGAGCCTCTTCAATAGGTGATCATTTCCAATATTCTTACGACCTTAATGGTTGATTCAGAAGTAATACTGTCCCGAGAAATTAGAGGCTGAGTACTGTTAGGTATTAAAGTATTAAGACGCGGCTAACTCCTTTCTTTTAAGTCTTTAAAAAAGAAATACACTCTTTGCAGCTAAGACGCTTTGCAACTGTAACTGAGAGTGCAAAATTGACCACATCATAACTTTTATTACAATTTCTATTGCATACCAGCTAATGGCGGTTGGGAATCAAACAGGGAAGACATTCGTTTGGGATATTGGCGTTGACGATCCAACAAAAGCTAGGTAATGCAAATTATTACGATACATTTCTATTCAAGTTCAAATGTTTTTTTTAATTTCGTGTCCTTGGTTGGTATTAAAATTTGTGTTGAAGAGATATTTAGACATTGGTGAGAAGGTCACAATCGTGGTTAGTTATCATTCATTGTGGTTGCCAAATACTGAAAATTAAGGCCATGTAGAAGACACGTGACCATTGCAAAGCCCGGCAATTTTGCTACGAAATTTACATACATGCATGACAAGCAACCACGTGATCTCGTGAAACTAACTTCAAGTAAAGTATACAAATCTTAACCTGCTGTGCTGGTTTTTTCGGGCGTTAACGTTAGAAGATCGCGGTCGTTTATTCGACCAGCCATGTTTGATTTAGAGTTGAAGTGAAGGGTGGGAAAGGGGGCAGGGAAAGGTCCCACTCCCTCCCCTCCTTCCTTTTGACCGCCGCTCATCGACTTTCCGAGTTTTCCGCTGCTGTAAAAATCAAAGATGGCAACTATTATTTTCACCAAGAGTACTTGGCGCTAGCCCGCCAAAATTATGACTGCTCTGTAGTTTATAAAATCTCGGTTAACCATTTCTTCAACCTCTTAGATACGCCTATTTCTTTTCTCAATAACATCCTAGGGGTAGACTTATTTGCATAAACTGCATGTTGTTATCTTAGATCGACAACGCTTGGGCACAACAAGTGTGTATCGGCCATCAGACAGACGGGATTTAGTAAGGACGGCAAGTAAGTTTACACTGAAATGTCTACAGAGTTTAGATTTACATATCGTTAACTTTGAAAATTGTTACATATCGAATCTACTTCTGATTTCTTCCTTTTCAGGATTCTAATATCTGTTTGTGATGACGGAACGTTATGGAGGTGGGACAGAGTCAGATAAAAATCTGTTCTGTCGTGTCACTGGTTTGATGTATAATAACTCGGACAACACATTTTTTTTTACTGTATATTTTTCGTCCTATAACGAACTTTTGTTTAATTAAAAGAGACTGGTTTTCAAAGAGCGTGCTGTCGTACTTAAAAGAGACTGGTTTTCAAAGAGCGTGCTGTCGTACTTGTGCTAATTACCGACAAATATGGATATCAAACAATCTGAGGCCTCCATTGATTCGCCGAGCTTTTACAATTTGATGAAGTTTTGATATAATCCACGTCTAAAGTTTCCCCACTCCATAATGAGCCTTACCAAACCAAGCATAAGTGAGAGAAGTCATTATGGTTTCATTGACACGAAATTGCCAGATCTTGCCATTTTCCCTTGGGCTGCGCTGTAATGGAGAAAGGATTATTAAAATTCTGACCTCAATGAAAGAATTCACAGTTAGCCAACGAGCAGGTCATGTTAGTAGCACTTCGGCGCGAGCGTTTTCCCGCCCGCGAGAGAATAAGAAGCCTTGACCGACGGGAGCCGGCAAGATGGCTGTGAAAGGTCAAGCTCTGCTAGAGCCCCGGCAAACTTCTCCCCGACGTGTCCCAAATCTTCCCGCCGGAGGAGAAACGCGCGTCCCCTCGGCTTTCGCTTCCTCAGCGCGCGCGCTTCACGTGTTTGTTCACTTATGACGCACTTTTTGGTTTAAGGAAGTAACTTATTTGTTGATGGGGAAAGAAGCAAACCATGGCAGATTCCATTTGTGCCGATGTTAAGGACCAAACTGTCGCTTACAACAGCACAACAGGAAGTGAACCTGTAGACCCTACAGATACAAGCTACGTCGTAGAGATTCGCTCTCAAAGAAATCAAAGTGCTACATGCAGGAATTGCGTAAAAATATTAAAGAAAACGCAAAGGCAAACTCTCTACTCCAGGATTCGGGAGCATTTAGTAGCAGAACGAAATATTGACGTGAAGTTGAAGCGTTTCAAAGTAAAATCCAATAGCGCGATCAGTCCGTTTGCCTTTCTGCGCAAACTCTTCGCGGCTTTGTTCCAGCATGAAACGGAAGCGAAATTCACAAGCGACGAACTGGAAAAACTCACAGAATATCAGTTGGGTGCGCTAAAAGAATCCTTGAGGAACTTAATATCTGAGAAAACGAAAGAGCTACAACAGGAAAAGTTGAGACGCATTAAAGAGAAACAGGCCTTACTTGGGTCTAAACAGAAGGCGAAGGATTTAGAGACAGAGGCTTGGGTCACATTACGGCCATTCTTAAATAAACACCCTTCCTTAGATGATCTTACGAGAGTTCTAATGTTTTAGGAGTGTTGTAAACTGACTCGGTTTGGAGAATAAGACATTTCGTAATTGAAAAGAATAAGAAGGGAGTGATGGATAAAGTTGTGTGTGAATAACGTGGGAAAGTCTATACAGATTTTAATAAACTTTGTTCGCTGTAATCAAAGGAATTCGGATCTGCATTCCGTGCCAGTTAGCTATGTACATTTACCACCGGAAAAAGGGGCATGTTCTAGCATTAGAATAATCCAATCTTGAGCTTTGAAGCTTTTGCTAAAGGAAAAATAAAATCCTTCAACAACGAAATGAGTTCTCCTCTCACCTAAAAAATGAAATCAGGAAAGAGAACATCAGAAAGGCCACTGATTAGTCGCTTATAGTGATGTTATTTCAGGGATTAATAAATTAATGCCTATTTAAGTAACACGTAATAAAAAAATCAGACTTTTTGGAGCTGGCCGTTTGTGGGCCTTTGTCTTACCAACAGACTGGCGTTTACCAATCCCAGGCAAAAGCAAACCCATAGTTTAGGAGAAACGCATGGACAAGAAGGGTCTGGCGGGAGAGTTCTCTTGTACTCCCAGTTTAGAAATAATATATAACAAGCAGTACAATAGTGTTCTTCCAAAATCCCGACTGAGGTATTGTAAAGGGAAACCAATAAAAAGTGCGGTTTATTGCTTAAATAAACATCTGTTATACAAGAACCCTTTCAGTCTGTCTGGCTTTGTAAACAGAGGTTTATTACCACGGACATGATTAACTACGTACTTCTGGTATATCTATCATTCTCCGCAGCTTTTGATCCCTCCATGTCCAGTCAAGAATTACATACTTCAATCTTTTAGTTTTTAATGAATCTGAAAGTGTGAAAAAAGAATCTTTAATCAACAAAATGATCCTCGCAGGTGAACTGCAATGGAAGAAATTTCAGAAAAGGAAGTCTGAAAACAATTTAGGTTTCGAAGGGGTACGAACCAGTACCCCCCCAGATTCTCGTGGGTCGTTACCTCATAATGAGCTAAAGGGCACTTGTTGAGAGAGATGCAAAACTGGGTTGAGGTAAAACTACTCTAAGCATGTTCAGTTACTGAGACGAATCAGCACTCTTGCTTAGCAATAGCTGGCCAGCAGGCTCTTATTATTAGCGCTGCAGGACGCTAATAATAAGAGCCGTTTCTCCGCCCGCGGGGAGATTTGAGACAAGTCATGCAGGGATAGGTTTTCCGGGGTTCGTGTAGCTCAAGGCCTCGTACTTTCCCAACGAAACGAAGAAACGCTCGTGCCGTGGTCGTGCCGAAGCACTAATATCGAGGGGCTGCTCCGAGGCTTGCTCAGCAATCGAGCGTCATGGCTAAAAGCATGCAAAGGGGCAATTTGGAGTCGACTGATTACAAACAGAGCCTGCTCACCATTCTGTATTAGCTTTAAAATTCGACTTGGTGTCCCAATGCCGAAATGAACCACCTGGGACTCTAGAAACCGCTCCTGCTCTGAAACCTGTAGAAATAAATTCCACCTGGAATGAGCGATGAAGATCTGAAGCGGTAAAAGTCACTCACGTCACGCGCGCCATAACAGTTTCAAGGACAAAAAAGGCGATTTTATCGCCTGGTTTTCAGGAAATATGACATTTTTCCTGGTTCACTGAGCACGAACTAAAGGAGATGGGCGTCAAACGGTCACACCACCATAATGTCAAATTGCGCGATGGCTCTTTTAAAAAGCGTTGGAAAAGCGGATACCTCTCCCAAAAATATTTTCCCAAACTCATTTCTTATCGTCGAAACGGCTTCATAGCCCAAATAATTTAATTTCTCCACCTAAAAACCCCTAGAGCTTGCCTTAAACATGTAAACTCTTCTACCTTCATGTGTTTGGCGAATAATTTAACCGTTTTGCATTTTCCTTTGAATTCTGTCGCTGCCCTGTAGAAAGTAAGAGGAATTTCATGTCTTCAGGTAATTCACCAAATAGATTAAAATCTCTTGGGATCTCTAGACCTCCCATTCCCCTTACCCCTGGGATAATGGTCTAATGACCCATCCCATCTTTTCAATTACCCCTTGGATTATAACCTACTGCCCCCAACCCATCTTTTGTCCCTTGCACATAATTTACAGGACTTGCCTTCAACTTAAACTGTAATCAGTTTAGGATACATCATAAATGCCTTACTAACCTGTTAAGTTCCACAACTCTTGTAGCTGCTGATGAAACAAACAGGAGCAAGGGAGAGCCATGATTGCCTTTCTTGTTTAGCTTATCCACATCTCGTGTCCACTGAGGAACAACTGCAACAGATGCAATCAGATGAAAGACAATCAGTGATGGATTCAAAGACTAACTGAAAGGTCACACCTTCAACTCGAGTCGGAGCATGTGGATTTTTTTTCTTAATACATTGGGCCATAAACATCATCTTTTGTGGTAATTTTCCTCCCATTTTAACACTTAACCCTTTACACCCAAACATTAGAGTTCATATTCTCCCTTCTGTTCTCTTGACATCATGGTACTGTTTGTAATTTTCATGGGAAGAAAACCAATCCTTTCAAGAAAGGTTTGCACCTACATTGTAGCCTCATTTCAAACTGAGTGTTCTCAGGCGCAGAAATTGCCTGTTCAAGTCAGGTAACTGATTATGTCCCACAAAGTGTTCTTTGTTATCAAAATGTGTTGGGTTATCACATGTGTGCAGTTAAATAGAGCTGTACACTCTACAGGCATAGCATAAATGGTTGTGACACCCACCATTATTCAGGTAAGAAAGGAGTTCATTTAGAGATCCGCTGTGAATAGAATCATCCACCAAACAACAGGAATCTAAAAATATAACAATTGAAAACAACTGCTTCCAAAATCTTCTGTATTAAATTTACCATACAAATTATTGCATACCTCAGCAATAAACAAAACTGAGAGACTTTAAACTTCAGAAATTCCAAACTCACTGTCTCATTTAGAATTAAGGCTACAAGCTCTTAGCCCTTCCAGGAATGTGCTTAGGCAAGCCTGCATCCAAAAATAACTTGCATAGTTTGACCAACTCAGGTTTGCACATTGTAAAGCAACTAGAAACATTTGCTACTTCTATTGGATGGGACACTATTAGTCTATACCAGGTTACCCTTCTCAAGTTCTGTCAAATTTCGTGAACAGTTCCCCTGTGCCCGTCAACTGGGAGTCAGAGAACTAACAGACCATGATCAGAAATTCTTATACTCCTGGTTGGAGACAAGCAGAGTGAAAATTAACTTTCTTTGCAAATAACACATAACAAAGATGCTTGCCAAGGTGTTAATCTGGATCTTGATGTCCAATTACAACAGAATTCACCCCAATAGGCAGTTATGTCTCTCACAAAGAGTATAGCTATTACTGTTCAATATTTTTGGCTAAGTTTCCAAGGTTTCCAAGTTTCCAAGTTTTATTATTTCACACCGTTTACAGAAAAAAATAACTTAAAAATAACTATAAAAACTTTCTTTATCATAATTTCTGGTTAATCTACCCTTCAAATGACATAGACAGTGATTCTCAACAGACTCTTAACTACTTGTGTTTAAGTGCACAGAAAAAAAGGGGTCAGTAGAGATCTTCATTGGATATCTCATTTCTTTAAATGGGTGAGCTTTGAGTGAGGGAAGGGGGGTAGGTATGAAAAAGAAAGTCAATTTTTGGCTTCAAGCTGTTTAGACTGATGCTTAATAGGATGCAAAATCATCATGCAATTTGGTCAACAAAAAGCACAAGCTTTAAAGCTACATCTTGTCTTCCTTGGTGCTGTAAATAATCCCTTCTTACCATCAATGCTCACATCCTCAAGTTCTAATGTTGTCAGTGATCCTGCAGTACTGTCACAGAAAGTTGACCACAATACATTTGGTGCTTCTGAGCCATGAAGTTTTGTTGATATACTTTCAATCTGTAAAATGTTACAGCATTCACATATTACAATCATTAAAATTTTTGATGACAATAGCATGGAAATTCTCCAAACAAATATATTATTACTTCCTCAGTGTATTGCCTTCCAGATTTGCAAAGGGCATTCATGATTATATCTAGCTGGAAGGGTTGTCAAATGTAATCACAAGTTTTGTGAATGCACCTCTAAAAGCCAATTAAATCAACCATTAAAAAAAAAGGGGGCAAGGTTAATCTACAACTGGAAGAAGACACACGAATAAGTGACACCCCAATTATGGCACACCTATTTCAACCTGTCTCAATCATAATTCCGAGAAGATACTAACAGAGGAGATCCTGGCTAGTTACAACAGTACCTCTCAGTTACAAAGAAGTAATACCTTAGACTTTTTCCTCCTTTTCTTTGCTTTTGATTCATTTGGAACATCATCACTGAGCTTTATCTACAAGAAATAACACAGGATTTCAGTGAAAGATACGCAGCGTACAACAAAAATGATCAACGAGACCTATTCTCTGCAGGTTGGTGGGCAAGATAGACAAAATAACTTTCTGGAGACGCGTCCCATCCGGTAATTCTATCATGCGCCTTGTTTTAAGCAGAGGATGACTACAAAGACTAAAGAAATAACCAAATACAAGGCTACAAAGACAGTTTGGCAAACTCTTTACTCACTTGTTTACTGCTGTTGTTCTCCGAATGACCTTCGACATCTTCATCTTTTCGCCGCTTATTTTTCCGTTCTGTTTCAATCTCTTATGGTAAAATTCAAGTAAAGATAATTAATAATCATTATTTTCTCAAAAAAGGAAGAAAATTCACAAAGGAGGGAATTTACCTGTATCCTCGACATCTTTTTCACTCAACCACCATTCGTCCCCCAAAGCGTCCGCCATATTTGATAAAATCGGTCAAAGACTGGTTACGACTATTTCCAGTTCCCATGGACGTGCCACTAACTTTCGTGCGCTGATTGGCTAGCTCGGTTCACTTTGAGATATGCTTCTTTTCACTGGTTTGGAAACTATTTAAAATACTCATTCAATCCAATGACGTTCTTTCATAAAGCGGAAGAGTTTCAGCTCGTTTCTCAACAAACAACTGTTCATTAAATCCTTTGGGTGTTTTCCCCTCAAGCTTTAGAAGAAATTTCAATTAGTTCCCAAAAACTTCAAAGCTAGTGTTCAAAGTTTTTTTTTCCAGACATTAGAAGTCACTGCGCCTAAAATTGCGGTTTTTGGACCCTGAGGTCTGACCAAGGCGTTTCTGATCTATATCAAAAGGTTCCGTCTGATCAGACATCAGAGTCCGAGATCAGAAGGAACCTTCCGAGTTTTCATAATAAGGAATTTACGATATTCCTAACTACATTTTTTGTTGCTGCTGTTTCTTTCATTGCCATGAGCAGAACCAGAGTACATTGGGCGTTTGTTCAAATTTCCAAAAAATTGATTTTTTTAACTCGGAGAAATTTTTCACCGCTAAATCGGAAAATTCTCAACTGAGAAGTTGAATGAAAGCTAAGGTGAAGTTAACTAATTTTTTTGCCTGATCGATGGGGTGATTTATGCCACTACTATCTACAGTTGCGTAAAAAAGTTCGATGACTTTTAAGTTAACTTCTGTACAAAACGTATGACAACATAATATTTCTTTGTAACAATGTAACACCCTTACAGAGCGTATCGAATAACTAGCATCTACAATTTATGAAAAAATATAATATTCTTTAATCTCTTTTTTGAGACTGTGTCTAAGTGAGTGCCCGGCAGCCAGGCACGGTCTTAAATGGACTAAATGCCCGGCAGTCAGAAATTTCCATAGAATTTTCCCTGAGAGGTTCTTTCAAGCTTTTCAAGATTATCAGATGTTTGTTTAGAAATGTCAAGCGATTCCAAAACTTGCTTATTTTTTCGAAAGACGAATTTTCCGAGCTTGTAATACCGTAAAATCGTTAGACTTTCGAGACTCACATAATATTTCTGACCTAACAATTTCATGGCATGCAGAAAATCAGAAAATTCGTCAAATAAAAACGGTCAAAATTTTTGGAATTTCTTGGCATTTCTAAACAAACATCAAACACTCATTAGGTTTGCATGAGGTTTTCTGTGGGAATTCGGTGAATATTTCTGACTGTAGGGCACGGTCTCAAATAAACAAAATGGCCAGCAGCCACTTAATTGCTTGCTTAACCCTGACCTCTGTCGGAAAGGGAAATAATTCACAAGTCAAAATTTGATTAAACGTCATCTGCCAAGCAAATGAATGACCGTGTAAAACAACAAATACACAAGGTGAGTGTTAGACACCAAACCGATATTTTACAAGAGTACGTGTGAATATATAACAATAAGATGTCTTACGCGGGTAACATTTCCTGTTGCGTTATACTGTGATGCGTTACATTGCGTTACGTCGTACCGCCGCGCAACACTTTCCATTGTGTTGCATTGCATATTGCGTTAGCTTGGTGAAACTCTCAGATTAAGCCAGTTCTTAACCTTCGAAAAAGGCAATTCTATTCCACTTTATGTTTTATTCTATAGCTATCTACAAAACAGGTAAATACACCATTTTAAAAGTCCTAAATCCGTGATAATTCGTCCAAATCTACGATACCAGTTTTATCATCAATGCTGTCCACAGGCACGGCCACAGGGTCCCCACTTGGAGATTCAACATATCGGTAAAATTTAGCCATTACTGCAAACCCTACCATCACCACAAACAGCATGCCGGCGAAAAAGAAAAATTCGGTTGTCTGGTTTGTAATGAGACGAGATTCTGCTTCAATGACAACAATCAAATTACCAAATGCTACCGTCATTAGCCAAGCGGCCTGAAGACATGACTTCGTAGAGGCAGGAGCCTGGGAATACGCAAACTCTAAACCTGTAAAAGAAATCAAACAGTGATTCTTAACAAAAATTGTCTCATGAGAAAGAAGGTTTTGACCTTTCATGATTGTCTGTTTTTATCTTATTTTCACAGGAGAATGTGATGAAATTGTAAGAAATTCATATCCCTTAGGTTACCCTGCACAGGACACAACCTGGTAAAAGTGAACGTGGTTGGCCAAAAACCATCGAACTGTTCGGGCTGATCTCGGTGAGGTAAAAATAACAATGCGTGGGGCATAACACGCTGCGCAAAACAAGACTAAATGGAGAGAGTGATTTAGTATTATCACTTGAGTTGGTACCGTAAATTGGCCACCGTAAAGAGTTACAAAGCTGACGTTTCGAGTCAGAAAGAATGGAATGCTTTGTAACTCTTTACGGTGGCCAATTTACGTTATCAACTCAGTTGGTAATACTAAACTACCCTGTTACACTCTCCCACCGACGCAGCACCACAATTTCTTTAGAAACTGACTTCCTAAATGGAGAGAGATTGATGGTGTCTTGTGTTCCACGGGAGATGAGGAGAGGGAGAAATATTCAATAACCTCTCTGAGTTCAAATGATGCCAAGACTCACCTGTTATAGAGAACATTATCTCTCCACTCGTAATCACAAAGTACTGTGGGATCTGATACAACATTGAGACATTTCTTGCCTCCAGATCCTTGTACAAGGTGACATTACCTCCTTTCCCTAGTTTGTTCGGCTCTATTACGGCGGTGTAAATGCCACCGTTCTTAAGAGATATTTTACTAGACACATACGTTGTCTTTGTTTTCTCTCCTTTAACAGTTAACTTATATTGATCTGACGTTTTTACAACACAATTTGTTGCTCCCCAAGCATCCACCTTTTCTTGAATCTTAGTCTCGTCCAGAAATATATCAAACATTTCGCTGTCTGCTAATGATGGCAAAAGAACTGTGCACAACTTGGCTTTCCCCGGAGGAGGAGATGAAACGTTCTGTTTGACCAGATGTGTACGAAGTTGATTTTTGTATTCACTGATTATCAGGTTATACCACTCCTTATCTTCCAGACTAAGGCTATCTTCAACTGGTCTTGACATATTGTAACATTTTGAAGATGTTTGAATCCTGGTCGACACATTCTTAGTTACTGGCAAGTTCAACTCACTGGAGTGTCCATAAGGTGTCACTGTGATATTCTTGTTGCCGATGGACAGTGACGCTGGGCAGTCCAACGAGTTAATAACTTGTAAATTTGCCTGTCCTTCCGAGGGTGCATTCTTGATGAATTCTTCACTCTGAAAAAATGTAAAATGAACCACTGAATATTTATTGACAATTCAATTCTGAGTGTGCATGACAACAATTGTCTACCATTATAGGTGTAAAAATTACAATATCACTATTACCTGTATTTTCATCTGGAGAAATCCTGCAAAAATAAATGCCACTGTAGCTAGAAACATTCCTGCGCACATTCGCTTGAGTGGTTTTGGCCTCCGTAGTAATGGGTATATCACAGTCTCAAACAGTGGAATAAGGATAATGATGAAAAGAGGATTGAATGCTTGCATCTGGTCTGGTTTCATGGTTCCCAAGAAACCTGTTTCAAGATCAAAATCGTTATGGTCTTTACTACTAATTGATAAATTATCATTGAAAAATTATCAGGTTTAAGTATCACAACCTAAAAAGAAAAACAATCAAACAAATTTTGTTGTAAATCATTGTTCGTGGTGGAAATGGGCTAAGCTTTCCAGGCACCTATGATCTTAGACAAAAGTCCTGAGGCACTTTTAAAAGGCTGTAAATAACATCAAAAGTAGATGGTCATTAAACAGATTAGTAGGTAGCCAGGAAATAATAGAGGTCATGTTGTTTGATCAGATAACATGCAAGACTGAGAACTATTCAGTTGAAATGTCTGAGGTGTTCCACAAAGTTCCATCAAACCTTCAAACAAATTTTTAAATTTTTTTTTTCTTACTCATCTAAACCTGCTACTGATAAATAATGCATTCAACTCCACTAAAAACTGGGAAAGGTTGCTGTAAAAAATTTATTTGATGGCATTTCAATAATTGTACATTTCCATCTGCACTTTTTGTACAACAACATGGTTTTGGTAGGCTTTCAGCATTTACTGACAGTTCTGTTTTACACCTGCATAAGCAAAAACTGTATCTACTGTCCTTCCAACACCACCATACATCACATTATTTACCTTGTCTTGTTAATTGTTTAAGAAACTACCCACTTACCAGCATCACCATCCATTTGCCCAGCCTGCAAAACCCACCGTGAGCCCTGTTGATCAAACAATGTCCAGAAAACAGGCAGAGGAAGAAACATGAACAACACTTTGAACAGAGCTTTGATGTCTTCTATTAACTGAGCATCGTATCTATCACTGGCCCAGTCCATCCAGTGAGCTTTTCTCTCTCCCTTGAAGAGAAAATCATGAAAAAAGAACATAAAATTTCTGGAATAACAATGAGGAAGATATGTAATGCACCACAAGCAGAACATTATGCATTAATAAGAGTGACTTTGCTTGAGAAATGAGTGTATGCCAAAATAACTGAAACAGTGAAATGTTGAACATTGGTGGCTTCAGAGGAATGTTGCAATGGGTATAATCATGATACAATTCTGGGTAGATTAGGAAAGACCAGGGCTTGTTTTTCAGAATTAATGAAATACACTATTTCTTAGAATAAGCACCCATGTACATCCCCCAAGTATGAGCCACCCCTATGGCCATATTGTCAAACAAGCACCCCCTTTAAATAAATGCCCATGGTCAAATAAGAGCCTCCCCCTGATAAGCACCCATCCCTTGGGCAATATATCAAACAAGTGCCCCCCTTGAGTAAGTGTCCCAACTCTCCTTCCTCTCTCTTTCTTGAATAGTAAGGGTACAAAGTAAACTTGTTTATATCTTTTATAGTCTGATAGTTTCTTAATAAGTGCCCTCCTTCCAACCAGTGCCCCTCCCTTTGGCCCAAATTTTGAATAGGCACACAGGCACTTATTCCAGGAAATAGAGTGAGTATCTTTTTCGGTCATGTATCACAAAAGGTCAGGAGTTAGAACAGACCAAAGTAGTTGAAGAGGACATCATTACCTCATGGCGCAAAATTGAGTCACTCAATGCTGTGCCATGGTGGACATATTCAGACAAGTGTATGATACCTTTGAGGTTATTTTTTTCTTGAGTGCATAGCTGACAGCCTTTGTCACCCGCAACAAAATGTTATCAGTTTGTGGAACCCTCTTGTACTTATTTCGGCCAAACCAAAATAATGTTATAGCCATTAACATCAAGGCTGCAGGAACACCGAAGGCCAGAGGATAACAGTCATCACCATAGCACTTTACATCTCCTGTTAATACAAAGACCATTTAGTGATACACACAAAAAAACAAGATGGCTTTCTGTATTCTCCCTCAAAGGACCAGATGCACAAGGGGCATTGCTAATTAAAGGGTAAAAAGAGGCAAGGGATTGAATTTGTCTTCAAATCATACGCAAAACTTTGCTTTTTTCTTTATTTTGTATCTTGAGGCAATTTAAAAACTTTAAGCCAAAATAGAAATTCAGCCCTAATGAGAGCAGTCAATCAATCACCAATGATATTTTCCAATAACTTCCAGTCAGCCATTTTTTTATTCAGATACACACAGGTCACAATGAAGTCTGCGAGCATTCTGGGGGCAAGAGTTAGGTTTAGGTATGTTCAAATTTTCATCGTACAATATGTAACCAACACTGGTGCACATACCTCTCAGTACAGGTGTAATTAGCATAGACAACAAGCTTCCAGCATTAATCGCAAAATAAAACACAGAGAAAAAACTTTGAAGCAGTTTTGACTGATCAGATGTGAACTGATCTCCACCAAATGCTGACACACATGGCTTGATACCTCCTGTACCCAGAGCAATGAGGAACAAACCAATCATAGGACCAGGAATCTCACCAGCACCAAGGGGAGGAAGAGATGTCATTGACACAATCAGGTTCCCAATGCAGTAGATAACAGAAACATACAAAATTGTTCTGTGGAAAATGAAGATAATTTCAAGAAATGAGTGGAAGACAATAAACTTTGAAATTAGGTGATGAACAGGTTGAATATACATCTTCATAATGATTATGTCATGCCAGACAAACAGTGTTTTTGGTAACTTATTAACTCATTCTTCTATGTCAATAGAGGCATAAAATATGTGGCTTGTAACCCTTAGAGCCTAAGGGTGACTAGCACCTAACTTCTCCTTATAGTATCACCCCTGAATCAAATCTTAAGGTTGAAAGAATAAGGAAAATGATCATTGACTAAAAGGCTCTTCTATTGTTAAATAAATTCTCCTTGTCAGCATGTTAGGAAATGAATAAAGCACTGTATGGAGAATATACACACTGATGCTGGGGTGTACAGGGTAAATAGCTCTGAAAAATATCATTTATAATATTAGGTTGGATTAATATTGATCATATTTTGAACCAAATTAGATATTATCAGTAAGTTTCACTACTTGTGAGAATCCTCTGATTGTCTGAAGTTTAATTTTTGATTCCAAGATTGTGCAGTAAATTTGTTAACAAAATGATCTTCTTTACATATTTTACCAAAATTAGCAGTAATGTCAAAATCTGATTAGCCAATTTGCCGATAAAAGCACACAGTGGTAATGCAATGAAAGAATGAGTTATTTGAAATTGATATTGTGGTAAAAAACTACTCTTATCAGCAAAGATATTGGTCATCATAGTGGTCAAAATTTGACCATTTTGATGACAAATATCATTGTTGATAAGAGTAGGTACAGACCATCCTAAGCCACCATCAATTTGTTAACTTCATTGAGCAGTCACAGTTTAGAGCCTTGAAAGAAGTCAAAAGGGTGGAATTCCTTTGAGACCTCTACTAGGGAAACAAAACATGTATGCTGAAGAAGTTGTTAATTTTGACAAAAAAGACGTTTTAATTTTGCAAACTATGCCCAGTCTACCTCTACCACAACATGAATTAAACTTGCTCAAGTAAGAAAATCATTCATCCAGTTTTTTCTTGAGGGGGGAATGGGGGTGTGGTTAGGCGGAGTGTGGAAGAGGGTTAATAAATTCTTGAAAGTTTATCATGCAAAACATGAATTTAACTCTCTTTTGCTCCAAGGAGACTAGTGATGGTATTAGTGAGAAAAACTTTTGAATGGTGAAGTTCTCTCATTCTCACCGGTATTTTCCAAGCCAACCATCGGCTAACATTGCCCCAAATAGAGGGGTAAAGTAGCATAACATAGAGAAACTATGAAAGACCGCAGTCGCAGTATCATCCCCAAGCATAAGAACCCTTGTAAGGTAGAGGATTAGGATAGCTTTCATTCCATAGTAAGAAAACCTCTCGCAGAATTCATTTCCTACGATGTAGTAGATACTCGACGGAAAGTCAGTTTTGCAAAGAAGAAACTTTTTGATTCTTCCCCACGCTTTCCCGCTCAGTTTCACCTGTGAGTTGTTTTGGACGACGACATCGTTCGGTGATTGAGATCGGAAAATTTCCGAGCCAGTCCAACTCTGCTGGCTATCTCGTCGGCGATTAGAAGAAGCAACGGAATTGTGAGTTGACATGACAAGGAAAATACGAGGAGATGTGGCACACAATAACTCTTGGGTCACAGTAAGCAAGAGTATATCGACATAGCAATCCAAACGATGTCCCCGATGGGTACATCCACATGGAGCGTTACACGACCAGATTGTCATCGTCTCTCAACCGCTGGCTTTTTGCGCAGTGACCGTGTGAGCCAGAAATCGGAGCATTGGATGTTTCGAACAATCGCTTGATAAGTTGTTCACGCTCGTATCACGTTGAAAATGGCTGCTAGATTGTTTAGGAAGGGACTCGACCATCTTAAAAGTAAAGAATTTAGGGATTATTTACTCAGGTAAGATTACCCAGTCTCTTAGTTTTCATCACGTTTTCTTTGTCGTACTAAATTAATGTTTTCGTTCTTTTTCAGCACGGTAAGTTCCACCTTGTTTCAGACGTTTATATTGTACGAAATTTTGACCCTCCGGTTGAAGTGGCTTCGCAATTAAATTTGATCTTATCTGTTTGTTTTCATGCATATGTTACAGCATTTCTGGGGACCAGGTGAGTGTTGATTGTTTTACATCATGGAAGTTAAACATATTTGTTTAATTTGCCACGAGTGTTACTTTTTGATCAGGCTCGTGGAATCGAATGTTCGACCCCCTCTCAAAGGTCGTTTCTCCTGTTTGAGCATGCAAATGAAAGCCGGCTTTTTTGACGGATCAAACTATACGACATTTGTTTTTTCATTTCATCCAGTCCTCGGGTGTATACATCAATTACATCACTGCTTGATTTATTTATTTACAACGCATCAGCTTAGAGGCGGAGGCGGAGAAAATAACTGTTTTTGCCGGCTGCGTATGTTCCCGGATGAATCGCACAAATGTAAATAATGTCTGGATTGTAATTAAAATCGTAGTGTGATTTCTGAAAGAATCGTATTTCGAGTGAGTAAAAATGGCTCTTCTCTGCAATTGGTTCCACGAAATACGAACTCCACCTGCAAACCATTCGATTTCGACTGATCTTGGCCTGTGCATGTTGCAGCCTCGGCGAGATTTCCGCACAGCCCCATACTTCATTATGCATACAATTCTTAGATGAAGAAAACGATGGCAAAAACAATAAGTTGCATTTGGGATGAGGACCTGCTTTTGAATAGGGGTTATACGGAAATGTATCCTTCTGGTGGCTCTCAGTTCAAAACATCAAATTGCCTATTGTTAACTCACTAACATCTTATCTCACTAACAACTTATCTAGATATTTGGTCAACCTACCGAACACCATTAACTTGGCTGTTTTTCTGGCTTCATTTACATGAGGGGAACTTAATTTTGGGCCTATAATGAAAAGGAAAACATTTTATCAAGGCCTCTACAGCCTTCTATCATCCTGTGAAGTACAGGGAAAGGCAATATTTTTTTTTATCAAATGTGTGCAGGAGAAAACTGTCAATTAAGTATGAATTGCAATTGGAGAAAAAAGGATGAACTAAATGGATGACAACATCATTTAAACAATGAACTAGGTGCTTAACCAACATGACTACCACCTCTTTGAAGACAGTCTGATCTCTCAACCACCAATACTTCTATTGGTTCTTGTGGACTAATTCCAGTCTCAAACTTTGTAGCAGAAGTCCACCCTATCAGTCAGTTTGAATAAGCATCTCTCTGCTGCAGTTTTTTGCAACAAAGTGAAAAGTCAATGAATGAGGTTTGGAGAGCTTGGCTTCTGTGGTTATTGAATCTTCAACCAACTGATTCACAGAGACAGGCCATATACAGAGTTAATATGTGACTAGTGTCTTGCACATTGTTGAGATCTGCAGTTGATAAAGCATCCTTTAACGAGATGATGTAGGAAACTTGAGCTTAGTCAATATCCAACTTTAAAGAGATGTTTATAAAAGTATCTTGATGGCATTTTAAGAAAATTGTTCTTGATATAAAAATGTATGTATTGATTTCATTTTAGTTGCCAACTGGGGTCTGCCTTTGGCTGCCATGTCTGACATGAAGAGAGACCCAGAATTTATAAGTGGAAAAATGACAACAGGTATGGCAGATTTTGTTGATGTTGTACTGGTTTCTGGCAGTACTTAATTGTGATCAAGAAATAATTTCTCCCAACAATATCAATACAATATCAAGCTGACAAGTCATGAGAATAAGGAAAAATATCAATTAGGGGATTATTAGCTGATCTGATACCAAATTCTTGGAACTTACATGAAAAGAATTGTATGACAGATGGTAAGGAGAACTACTAATGAGATCATAGAGTGAAAGGGTTGGATACATTCTAGTTTGGTTTCCTGTTTGTAAAGCTGACACTGCAGAGTATGGCAACTGTTTCTTCTTTAAAAAAAACTTTTTTATGACTTAAGATCTTGTTGAAAAATCCATGAAAAGTCATTACCTTTTATAGTAAATTGTGCTTAAAGAAAAAGTCACCTTGGAGATAATCAGTGTTGATTACTGGCATAACATAATTTAACAAAACATCCAACTCTTTGATCTGCTTCTTTTGAATTATTGAAAATTGTTCTTGGTATCTCATGAGGCTGAGAGGAAACAAACAAAGGGTATGGAGCATTTCCTTAGTTTATGGTCCCTGTGCCTTGCTATTAAGTTGTTTCATTGAAAGATGCCAGCCACAGAGTGTATGACTGTATAACTTTTTTGTAGTTGAAACAAGGGTTAATAATTGGTTGTTATGTTTCTCCTAGCACTCTGCATTTACTCCATGTTATTTATGAGGTTTGCATGGAAGGTTCAACCACGGAATATGCTCTTGTTTGCTTGCCACTTTTCAAATGAAGTCTGTCAGCTTGTTCAGCTTGGAAGATTTACCAAATATAGGTAAAGCTTGTTTATCAGATGGCTTCTTCCCATCAGCACTACAAACTTAACTACCTTAGTATCTTAGATCTTGCTGTACTGATCTAAGGTGTTCAATTGAGTAGAGGGACTTAGCCTTGCTATGGAGATCTCAGGTTTTGTTTTTGGTAACTTGGATAGGACCTTATTTTTATACCAATAACACTTCAGCTACAGATATGAAGCTGAAACTTCCTACATGAACAGAACACAAAAATTGTCCATCAAACTTGTGCAGGGTAGTTACTGAGCTCACTAGAGAGGTGACAATTATTTTTAACTTTATGTGAAGGATATTGGTGTATTTACTAATACAAGGGAGTCAAAGGTCTTGTACAACCAGTTATGGTAGTTGGAAATGAAAGAGTTCTGCTGCCTTTGTTACTTCCCTGAGGCTGACTAGCATCTAATTTCTCCTCACAGAATTACCACTGAATCAAACTTAAAATCATGAAAACAAAGAAAATGGCAGCCAAGTATAAAAGAACTTGATTTTTTTAACAATTTCTCCTTATAAGTTTTATAGGAAGTGTCTAATGAACAGTGTGGAGAATATGAATACTGATGTTGGCGTGTAAAGGGTTAACCTAAATATCAATCATTCTTTACTTGTAGGCTGGAAGGTGGGCCACAAAAGCACCACAGTGTTGAAGTCATTCCTTCAAGCTAAACAAAGTCAATCATTTCTTAAAGTATTTTTTCAGGGAGTTTGGTGTATCAATATTTAATTTCTTTTTAAAACATGGTGTAAATATTAATACAATAATAATACCAAGTTTTTTTAGCTTTTAATAATTCGCTTCTGTGTCAATTGCACAGAATACATTGTAGTTATTAGGCATGATATATGTAATCATGAAGGGTTTCAGATGTAATGTGCAACCGAGTTGCAACAACTTAAAATAAGTTTATTTTGGTTGGTCAGGGGACATTAAATTATTGTGAAATAATAGGTAAGGACCATCTACTCAGTGGAGGAAAAGAATATGGCTCTCAGTTATTACTTTACACCAGATTATCAATGAAACTTTGGTGCTCTTTGAAATTTAAACTATTTTTGTTTCTTTATTTTTAGTGGAAAAGTATCTATAATTCCTAGTAGATTTTTGTGCGAGTGTCTCTCAAAGGCCTAGGAGTTAGTCCAGGGAAGTGTTATTGAGATGTTGTGTTTTATGATAAAGAGAGGGATACAATGAACCAGGTTTTAGTGTGTGACTTTTATTGTGAATAGATCCATCTACAGAATGGCAGGTAACTTGTATGTGAGTAAAATAAGGAAATTTACACCATCCAAATGAACAATATCTATTTGGTATTGACAAAATCTCAATTTGCAAGGAAGTGTTTTGCATCAATAAAATGCAGCATTTTTCATGAAATACTTTTCTGATTGATGGCCATTTTGGAGAGGGATCTGTGGGAATTTGTGCTACACTATGCAAAGCAATGACCTGATTCATTCAGGCTCTCATCAGTGATACCTTTGGTGGAGAGTTTTGGTACACAGAATGTTGTGTTGCTGAGTGATATAATAAAATTACAGTTCTTTTCATGTGCAAGCATGAAATTAATACATTAATACCTTGTGATATTGCGGAATTATGATTGAGGGGGAAATGCCTCATAAAGTAAAAGTGATTAGGGTTTAATTTTTTTGATGCAGTGTTGCCAATATTGCTATATTTGATGGATTTCTCCTTTCCTAAGAATGTCAGCTAAACTCTTAAAAAGAATCACTCAAAGCATCATCAAACTGGCAGTTAACAAACTGAGTTATAAGGTCATTAACAATCTCGATCATAGTATGGAGTTATTTGGGAATTGAATTTTCCTTTGCAATTTGGTCTGGAAATCTCATATCGTTACCCTTTCAGCCAATCAGATTCAAAACTTCTATGAATTGATAGACGGTCATTCCAGCTGGCATTTACTCTTTCTCTCACTCAAAGCCTTTGTCCTTTATTGTTGTTATGACTACTTTCTCAAATGGTGCAGGAAATGGCTAGTGTAGCCTTACAATCAAGATCTCCAAATCAAGATCATACTTGTTTCAGTTTCAATGTGCCAATCAAAATGAAAACCTTGACAAGAATAAAAGGGACATTGGAATCACAAGCAAGACAAAAAGAGAACTTGAATTTAAACAGCATGATCTTCAAAAATGCTGCGTAAACAATTAGCATTTGTTTAATTTGCCTACCACATGATTTTTCTTGAGAGCGAGGGGCTAAATTCACGTTTGGAATCTCTGCCCCATTCATCCCACAGTTCCAACACCCCAGATTTTCTCAGTCTGATGCTCTACCACTGAATTTATGGAAACTTGATAGTGAAGTAGACCGTGTACTTGGTTTACATATGAAAAGCGTTCTGCGTACCGCTGCGACCAGAAATGTTGGAAGCATTCTTAATTTGCCACTTTGGATTTGCCAACTTGAAGCTGGACTAAACTTTGATTCTTCATAGGAGAATAAATTTTTTTGTCCCAAGCTCATGACAAAACGAACAAATTTCTTTACGAGACTAAGTCTTTCTTGAGCTATAAGGGTCACTTTCTGTAACTGATCTTAAGTTTAGACAGGGTATTAATCGAACCAGTTTGTTAAATTAAAACACATTACTCATCATTTAAGTACTTCAATCCTGTTACTAAATCTTGTTTTTAATGTTCGCTGGAAATACTCAGAGCAAAGAAAAAAACGAGATTTGCCAATGGAGATAGAGGGTTGTTCTGACATCTGGACACAAACTTTAGGAGGTAATCATGTGATGTAAGGCACAAATAGCGATGTCATTCTTGACCCGTTTTGTTTTCCCTTCATTTCTATTTTCCCCTCTGAGTTTTCCAAGATGATAACTTTTAAGACCCACCAAAGAAATGCAGTCTGCATGCTAGGACAACATGCATGATGTCCTTGATAGCTTGTCTTTATTGTCTTTATCTTTATTGAAATTTGTTACACGTACAGAATAGTATCGGCAACTGGAGAAGAAAACAGGACGATGTCCCAATTAATATACAACCCCAATAAATATTAACAAAATAGTAGTAATAATTATAATCGTAAAAGTAGTAATAAAACTAGCACTAATTATCATATGATATTATTTACAACCAAGTCAATTTAAGAATAGGTTCATTAACTTACACCCTCACGACTTGGAAGATTATAAGAAACGGTTTTTTCATCGTAAAAATCTAAAAGCCTCCTTTTAAAAGTATGAAATGAGTCCACGCTTTTAAAGTCCCTTGGTAATTTGTTCCAAAGATTGATAGACCTGCAATAACGAGAGCTATCAACTTCGCACCCATTTGGAACATTATTAGTTTCATTTCTACACTTACATTTTCCTCACTTCCAATTCTCCATTGATAGGCCCGCGGCAAGTGGGGCAACGAGAATCACCTTTGCTCTTATGCTCAGTTATACATCTTCCACAGTAAAGAAAATGTATGCAAGGCATAATGACACAATTACGTTGTCGTTCAAAGCAGATTTGGCACAGTTCCGATCCTCTAGATTGTTCTAACTCTCTCTCTAACTGGCCTATTCTCTCAGTGTTTTTCATGTTGCTCTCTTCTGCGTCCTTAAACTTCTGCTCGAACTCTGTTCTCAGTTCATCAGAAACCTGCCTGCGTTGAATTTCAAAACTTTGGCGTATTTCAGAAAGACCAGGTACAAGTTGATAGTTTATGTCCAACACTGCCTGAGCAGCTCTCAAAGAGTCCAGTTCGCCTTTGAGGTCTAAGTTATCGTCTTTTAACTTTGTTGCACTTTCAACCAAAGAAAAAAGCTGGGATCTTATGTTACTCATCTGCGCAAGCTTTAAAGCAGTTTCTTCATCAACTTGACCAGTAGACAGCTGACCTACAAATACTTAAAAAAAAAAACCACAAAACCATGGATTGAGCCATCAACTTTCTTAACTGTCATCGCCCAGCATAAAATTTTTAAAACTCTTAAATTACTTTGGCGAATTAATCAGGTGATATCAAGCACAGGGAGGGGATACTAACTTGGGTTCCTTTTGATAACTTTCAAGTGCATGGCACTTCTCTTCTACAAATGGCTTGTTTAGCGCATGTCGTCACGCATGCTAGAGCGTCACTCACTTGACAGTTAATGAAACTTTGTTCATATTAAATTATTTAGGTACCAACCTTGGCTTTGTTTGTATTCTCGGTACTCACTGACACCGTGGGGCCAAGTGAAAAGAGTTATGCCATCCAGTGATCCATCGTTCCATGTCCCTTCCTGAATGGTCCCATTTGGTAACTTCAAGATCCCATATCCTGTCATTTTATCATACTGCCACAAACCCTCATACATAGCACCAGATACAAACGTCATCTTTCCATGACCATGCCTAGCAAACAGAAGACTGGGCATAAGGCAAAAATCTCTCACCTTTTCTATTTAGTATCTGGCAGTTTGCTTTTTAAGGCTGAAAATAGAGATTTGCATTGTGTTGCCCTGAGTAGCTGTTCTTAGTTCATAGAGTTTTCAACTAACAGTCACTTCTCTCTTAGTGAACACCTACTTACATGGACCATGGGGCTTAGGCAAGATTTTCAGAAAGGGGGGTAGGTCTACCTGTGCGTTCTACTTGTATTTGGGAGCATGCCAGGTTGGTTTGCTATGATTAATTGACTCAAGATACAAAGAAAAGGTTACATGCACACTCTCTACCACAAGCTATGCTTTTAGGAAGCTCAGACTCTGTCCTTGCTGTTCCAGTTCTAGGTCTTGCTCAAAACAGTTTACAGCTCTGTTGCTTTTACAACTTAATAATACAACTCTACTTTCTCGACACACCTCATGTTATTTCTCCATCCACCAATGTAAAACCCATGTTCATTGACTTCTGGGCTGTCACTTTTTACAGGTACTGTCAGAATAAAGCCTTCCCCTTTACCGTTCCTCATACCTGCAACACATGTACCAATAACAGAAAGTTCCCCAACAAATTAGATGCATGGCGTTAGTTTTACTGATAGAAACTTGTTTCAGTGTTTCTTACACCTTCCTCCTGCTCTTACTGTACTGTCGTTTCAACAAACAATAATACTATTTTGACCTCTGCCAATTTTTTATGTCATCAACATCAAAAAGGAGTGAACAATTTCGTTTTTGCCTCCAAAATGATCCTCAGATCACGAAACAAAAAACCCTTTTCAAAAATGACCAAGTCAACTTAAGTTGTTTGGGGGAGCTCTAACTCAAGGAGTCTGGGAGGCCCTGTATAAAGGAATCAAAGGTCTTTTTAGATACTCTCAGTTGGAACATCAAGGCATCATATGACTACAGAATCTATCAATAAAATTTCATATAAGCTACATAGAAGCTGCAAGCTCAAGGTGGCTACTTGGAGTGAGAAATTCAATCAAGTCCATCACGGCATAATGTCTGGGGCAAACTCCAAGAATATTACACCTAATGGTTCTCACATTTCTCCTTATCCTTGTATCCCTCTAAACCAATCTGACAGTTGTCCCAGATATTTACCTCTGAACCAGTCTCCTCTGTATAAAAGTCTCCCTGTCACAGTTTTCAGGCTTCCATATCCATGGGGAAGTTTCCGCTGACCTCTCACCTCACTGACTGCCTGGGAGGTTACAGGTCCATTAACCTGACATACACATTTCAGTGCATCCTTGCTGGTCATTGCTTTGACTTGGAAGCTGGTAAAAGGGTTTCTTGCATAGCGACAAAGCATTGTAGTTTTAAGTGCGATCTCCTCAAGATTGGCACCAACAGTCTGCATGTTATCTTGTGATGATTCTGAGCAGGAAGAAACCAACACAAGTAAGTATCTTATTAATGGCTCTCAATCTCAAACGTATTTTTTTTATACAGGTAACATGATGGAACAATTCTGGGGTGTTCAGTCACCAAGGTAGTCACTTTCTCCAAATAAGTTGATAACCAGCCCATCATCTGAGTCTCTGCACAAGAGGGAATACATACGTGGGTATGTTTTCGAGGGATATGTAACACCGAATAAATGTTTCCACTCAAACTGATACCTTTTCTTGGACACTACGTGCATTTAAACATGGTTTTCTGTCTTTTATTTACATTTATTTCCCTAGTAGAAAACATGCAAAAATCCAGGAATAGCTTAACCTTTTAACTGACCCAAGATCTCATTAGTAATTCTCCTTACTGTCTGCCATACAGTTCTTATGATGTTAGGTTTGAGAATTTGGTATTGGATCAACTAATTATCCTCAAATTGATAATTTTCTTTATTCTCATCACTTATCTAGTTGATATTTTAAGGAGAAATTCATCTTGGTCACTTATGGGAGTTACAGGGTTAAATGTTTTTGAATTTTTAAAGTTTTCACAGGGGCTTCATATCAATAGGAATGAAAGCTTTTTTGATTTTCTTGAAGCAGAAAAAACAATTTGGCACTGAGGAAATCATTTTCAAACAATCAATGTTATCATTGCAGACATCACTATTCACATTCTCAATTGCATTCCTATTTTCACTCATATTATTTCTGTTTTGTCATTTCAGTTTCACTTCACATAAGCAGTAATCCTTCACTGTCGCCCCTACATGTAAGCTGATAAGTACTGGTGTGCATTACAATATTCTAAGAGCAGACACAGACATCAGTATCTGTACCTGGAGATGAACTATTATTTAATGAATCAGCTGATTCACCAGTAATCATTGAGTTCAAGGTGATTAATCTTTGAAAAAAACTTCTTTGAATTTCTGTACTGCCCATCAGCCCCACTAAAGGATCCTTAAGCTCACACAATAGATCCCTTGGATCATCATCTGGATTCTCTTCAGAGCTTTCTGCATGGCTGGTCTCCAGTCTATTAGAACCAGTGTCTCTATGGCCCTCAGATCTGGCAGCTTTCTGTCCCAGTTTGAGCAACACCAGCTTATGGAGAGAGTTTTGGATTTGCATGCACTTGATAATGCTCCCGTGCAGAGAGGACATGAGGTCTTTTCCCATTGAAACAGTCACCATTGGTGCTTGCTCTGATTCTTCAGCTGATTGGTGAGACACTTCACTGGGATCAGTTGATGGTTGTGTGGCGGAATAATGGGAGCTCTGTGATGTTTGCTCTTGAGCATTGTTTGTGATAGAATCTGTGTCCACTGGAAACAAATGCAAAATCCTTAGGACAGGGCTCACAAAATATTATCCATGAAAGATTGTTGATAATTTAAACTTTTTGAAATTCTTGTGCTTTTTGCTGTCATTCACATACAACATAAGTTGCTTTAAGGAGCATGCGAAAAAAGAAACTAGTTTTATATATCCTGATTTTATCTTGATTACTTTATACCATAAATTGTGTGAATAAACTGAAGCTGTTCCTTATTAAAAAAGTTAAATTATAAAATAAATAACTCTTTTTCTTACTCGGGCTGGGATTCTTCATTTCAACACTTGAATTTGACCAATGATGTAAGGTAAAGCCTCTTGAATAATTTCTAGCTGAACTTTTGAATTGTTTTTCTGACCTTTTGGTTTTTGGTTTCTTCACATACTTAAAGTCCTCTAAACGCAGCTCCTAAATAGTTTACAAAGATAGATACATAATCACCCAGGAGTTAAACAAGTTATTTCTAATTAATTTACTACAGTTAACTGAGTTACTGAAAAATTGTCATATGGTTGCTTTTTTTGGCTTTCGCCTGAAACTGGGTTAAAGGTAACCATAGAAATTAATTGAACAACAGTTGATTTTTTTTTTAACCAAGTTTTATTAATTTCAAATCACCTTTCTGCATAATTAAATCCAGGTTATAGTGGTCTTTTATCAGTGCTAAGATGTGTGGGAGATATATTCAGCGCTCTACAAGGCAGAGTCAAGTGCATAAGCATCTAGACAAAAAAATAAGTTTCTATTAATAGCAAAATCACCCATAAGCAAAAGTTAACTGTACTTACCTCCACACTCTTTTGAGAATAAATTTCCATCATGGTTATGGTTTGAAACCTTTCTTTAAATCCTTGAAGATCAAGTGATGACAATGAGGTGGCCTAGTGTAATCATGAGACATTCATCTTAATCAGAAAGGGTTATAGTACACTATGAACAACAATCACAACAACAGGTCAAACATAGATTTAATATATAAATATTCTATAAATAATATTCATAAAAGAAGTATAATTTGTTGTTTACAGAGGAAAGCTACTTTGCAACCACCCAATCACTAAAGCCACCACACCATTAGACCTTGTCAAAAAGGTTTGGGGTGCACTTAAAACTTTCTGAGTCTGCTACTTACACAAAATTGTATGGGTGTTCCACAGAGTGTCCATGTATTTGGATGAATTACTGAAAAGTAAAAATTCATTACACAAATCATTGAAAATATCAATAATCAAAGTTGGGTGCCACTTACAGGACTGGTGGAACTATATATAGGCTAAATGCAAGACCAGTTTTCAATTAATTGTAGAAACCTCAATATTTCTGCATTAAGGCTTTACTCTTCTGTAGTCGTTGCTTGATGTTACCTGAATGAGATCAAATTCATTACAGTACTCTTTTGGTTTAAAGCCACATCCAAACTGATATCCGTCAAAGAGGTTCAAATCAATATACTTCAGACAAACATGACTTGTAGATTAATTTTACATGAAATGCCCCCTCCGCTCATCCAAAATAGAAGAAAGACAGAGCTAGGTTACAGTTCTTAACCAAGGTGAATACTAAAATTAAGGAATTTTTTTATCTTATGTTTCTACTAACTGATACTCCTGACATATTTCTAACCTGACTATTTGTAACATAGAATTTGTGGGTTAAAGTTAGAGGTGCAAATGGAGCAAAAAATATCAACATGAGGGAAGCTTGTAAAAAAGGAGGATGCTGAAAAAAGCTGAGCCAAAATAAGATTCTGGCACATTAAGGAATTTTGCCTTACATGGAGGTAGATTAATACTTTGTCCTGAATACAAAAGATATTCCTGATGATCATCTTCTTCAAACGCAACATTCCAACAAATAGCCAACTCTGCAGCCATGATTAAAACACTTGAATTATCTTTGCATGTCAGCAAATTCTGCAAAATTAAAAAATACAACAGCACAGACTCCATGGACTTAATCAACCTGAGACAGTTAAAACTCTTAATTTTTGTTAAAGAAGTAGAAGTTTGGTAATCATGCATGGTGACATGATATATGCATCAGTGTCTTCCTACAGATCACAACAGAGGGTACAGGCTTAGGGGTAACGGTTAGGGTCTGTACTCAAGCCATTAAGTTGCCATCTCCCCTCCCTCCGAGCCAGACCTTATCCCAGTTTTCTTGGCATGAAGCTACTAGAAGTATTACCACTTCCCCCTGAATGGTATGCTCAAATCCCATCACAAGGTTATCCCCCAGCATTTCATCATGCTACACTACAAATTTTTTGGTAACCATTACACTCAGCAATAACCCGTTATGTCAGAGGAAAATGTACCATTTGATACCAATCGCAGGTTGTAATTTTGGGTAAGCTGTCAAATGTGCCAAAAATAATCCAAATGTCTTTCTTCAATGGCAGTTGGTTAATTGTGTAATTCTTCTTCATATGATGTTCTGTCGATTATATCAAATGTGCATGATTTACAGCCTAAAGAAAAATGGAAGCCGGAAAACTAATGAAGAAAGGACTTACCAGGATAATCCCTGGCCAGTCTCACCTCAACGTGATCGGGACCGGATCTCAACCGAATTCCGGTTCTGTTGAGTTGTTGTTCTGTTGGTCGAGGAGAAACCGAAAGTCAAACCTCGTCGATATCCAGAAGCCTCCTTCCGGTTGTTAGAGTGAAACTTGTGCAAAACGTGATTAAATAAGCTGGAAAAAGTTCCTAGAGCAAAATCGTTCTGCTTATATACTTCTCTGTGAAGCAGAAGTGTCCTTAAGTAGCTTTTAGGTAATCTCTGTAGGCTCCGGATGAGACACGGAAGCTTGATCAGCACGACCGAAATGACTTCTGGGGTAGATAGAGTCCCGTTTTAGCAAAGCGGGTGTGAATGTAGGTCAAGCGGAGTCATCTTCAACACAGCTTAATGTCTAGAGATTTTCATTTTTATCTTCTTCTCTTTTTTTTTTTTTTTTTTTTTCCGAAAGTTATAAATTGAAGATGACTGCTCAATAAAATTGTTGACTTCTACTTCCGGATCAAGCCCCTGTTTGGCGACAAATTGGCTGAACCACGATATTCACAAATTAAGATGTGCGGCAGTTCCTTTCGTAACCTCTTTAAATTCTGCCCATGGTCTACTTATAAACCGGAAAGTCCCAAGCTGAACATGACATGACCGTCTCTATTTCAAAGATTTAGTTGAATAAATTGATAATCTCCTCCTTTCCCGCTTCAAGTTGCCATTCCCGCTATCGGACATTGATACAGCGATAAACGAGCCAACTGTTCATTGATT